TCTCCATGAGCCTGTGTGTAAAGAGTGGGAGTAAGAACATCTGCTGAGTACACCACAGATGATGTCAAGAAAATACTTTGGGGCTGGCCAGATAGCTCAGTGGATTAAAGCACCTGCTTGGGCAGACGCAGGGGTTAGAAGTTCAATCCCCGGCATGCCTGGGGATTGTGCCAGCCCTGCCCCCCTGGGCATGCTTGGACAGTGACTGAGACTGCGTGTGGTGGCGTGCTCCTGTAATCCCAGCGCTTAGGAGGCTGAAAAACAGGAGGATCACCATGAGTCTGATCTGTGTAGTGAGACCTTACCCTGTACTAAATACATTTTTTAAAAAATACCTTGAACTCTTAAGACTATAAAAAACATAATCCTTTGTCATCTTCATCTTTGGGTCCACAAAAGCCATCAACAGTGGACCAATTCATGTTTTGGGTTCTTGAGTCCAGTATTGTTGACCCTGGCAACACTGCTGAATCACCAGGGAGCATTTCCAACCAGATTCCCGGGCCTTACCCTGGAGATCCAGACTCAGAAACCGGGGGGGTGGGGGGGTGGGGGGGAGGCGGAGTTGGGAATCTGTGTTCTATGAAAGTTCATGAGGGGCTGGGGAGATAGCTCAGTAGAATAAGTGCTTGTCTGGCAAGTGCAAAGGCCTGAGTTCAATCCCCAGTTCTGCAAAAAAAAAAAAGTTCATGGGTAATGCCAACCTGGGCCTGTACCCTGGGACTGCAACTCAGGCCTGTTCCCTGATCGTAGAAATGAAGAAACCAAAGCCTAGAAAAGATGGATCAGCTTGCTCAGGTGGTGGCCAGCATCTACTCACCACCCTTTCCAGAACATCCTGCCAACCAAAGTGGGGAAAGCTGGGGCAAAGCCAGGTCTTCTGATGAAGGGTAGTCCAGGCACCTCCTGGCAAGGCAAGGAAAGACTCTTTGCAAGCTGGGATCGGGTAGGGATCAAACATCTTTAGGTGAGGATTTCCTAGGCCTGTTTAGGGCATGGGAACTGGAAACTAGGTCCTAAAAGACAAATTGGGAATAAGCTTTAAAATCATGGAATTTATACATTATTCTATAGGCATTAAGGAAGGTGCTTTTAGCTACAGGCCAATTTTTCACAAAATGAAATGTGTAATGAGTTCAGGGAGTACAACACAGAGCAGGGAGAGGGATGAAGAAGGGCCAGCCAAAAGTGAGCCCACTCACATGGCCCGGGGGGGGGGTGAGTGGGGCACCATGGGGCCTGTGATGACAGCAGAGGTACAGGGCCCAGCTAGATGACCACAAGAAGCCAGGGTGATGGGTGAGCCCAAGATGTTAACATTCAGACCTTTATGCAAGAACAGGGGCCCGCATAGGAGAACCTGTACTACAACATCCTGTAACTCAGGTGTGTCCCAAATTTACTGATCAAGGAGGTTATGGGGCCACAGAGGAAAGTGATCGATGATGTAGAATGTGCCTAAGGAGAGTCACATGGACAGAAAACATTCTCTCAGGCTTTCACTGAGTGCAAACTGGTCAAGCAATGGCCGTGACTCATCCACATGGCTGACACTGACAAAGGATCTACAAACTGCGGTACAGGGTTCAGGATAAATCCTGAGAGGATTTGACTGACCTTGTCAGATACAAAAGTTACATTTCTTGTTGTATAGGTCTTGCTTTATCTTGGTCTTAACCACCCAGCAGAAAAGTATAAGAACAAGGTATAAAGAATAAAGCCTTATTAATATGCTGAGCTGTAAAAGGCTCAAGTCAACGACTTCTGACATTGCCAGTCCTACAGATAACTGGCTGCTATTATGGACTACTGGACTGTATTGGATTATTTTGCTGAAATCACACACCTACAATATTTAAATGGCAAGGGAATACCCATCTCTGACAGGACTAAACAAAAAAAGGCGATACAAATGAAGTGCCATTTTGTATCTCTATATACAAAATAGGATAGATATACAGCTACTTTCTCCTAATTCAATGAGAAGAAAGAGTTATACCAATAGTGTTTGGACAGGATATCATGTCTGCATCTTGTACTGTGAATAACCACTATGAAGACAACAATATGCAATGTATTAATTATTGTAACTGTCCTACTGACTTGTTTTGAAACTGTCTCATTGCTGTTTGTTTCTCAATAAAATTAATATAAATAAATAAATAAATAAAAGAACAGGGATCCAACTGTGGAGCTCAGCCACTTGTTGGGGCTGAGATCAAGTTCAAAGAGAAGACTTTCCCTTTAGGTCTGCGGTTGAGAACGTACAGCACAGAATGCAACTCCCAGCCTGAGTGAGTCCTCGGGAGCTGCAGTCATGGTTGCCTCTGAGTCTGTGCTTATGGTGTTCTCTTTCCCTTGCCCTTACTCTGATTCTCTAAGGCAGGCACTTGCTTCCCAGAATCACTCACTGGCTTTGCCAAGAGCTTTTGTCCTGGACCTCCTGCCTCACCTGGAGGCCCAGTTGGTGTCTGGCCACCTGGGTCGCAGGAAGCCTGGGGGTAGGCGCCGGAGGGGAAGGGATCATACACTTATTGAGCAGCTCCCAGGAGCAGAGTCTGTGGTGGGCCTAGCATTTAGCTAAGCATCCCTTCTTTCTAACTCCACACAGCTAAGGAGTAAAGCATCACACTGCCCCCCCATGTTAAAGAGGTGAGTCTCACCCCAAGGCCACCCTGCGTCCTATGATGAAGAGATTGAGACAGCTCCACACGCAAGCATGCCCGAGCCCTCTCTCACCTTCCTCGGGCCCTCTGCCTCTGTCCTCCAGAGCCCCTTTCTCTTCATCTCTGCTCACATTTTCCCCCTCAGACACATACAGTATTGTCCTTGGCTCCTGAGTGCTAGAGAGCAGGCAGGCTGAGCCACCTGCAGCCAGTCCTTCTCCACTTGCCATCCTGTTGGAAAGGGCTCTGGTGCTGAGGGGAAGCCCAGGAGCAACTTCAGAGGCCACCCTTCCCCCGCCCCCTGTGTTTTCTGAGTGGAATTAATTCACCCCAGGGACACACAGCTGGGCAGAAAAGCCAGGTCTGCTTTCCAGGTCACTGCGCCTCCTGCCCCCTGACAGAAGGGAGTGTGTGCTGCCATGCAGAGGGACTCAGAGGCTGCTGCAGAGAAAGGAAGGCCGGGGGGCTGGGGCTGGGGCCTTACTTGGTCCCTGTGACTGTGACCATGTAAGGCACATGGGTGCAGCCAGCCCCAGGGCTGCTCGGGGCTCGGTGCCTGCTCTAGGACACCTCCTCCCTGTGTTCATGCAAGCACTGCTGGGTCAGCAGTGGCCTGATGTGCAGGTGGACCAAGCAGAGCATGAGGTCACCCGTGCTGCCGCAGGAGGTCTCAACAGAGGCCAGGGTGAGATAGGCCTCCTGGGGGAAAGCCTTCCTCGCTCCCAGGCCTTCTCTCCCCCAGACTCGTCTCAGTTGGCTCAGGCTCACTCCAGCCCTCTCCGCTCTGTCTTGGTAGCTCTCTTTCCTCGCCTTGCCTCCTTCGAATCAGAGCGAATGGTCTCTGCCTTTGGCCCCTTCCTCTCTCCATTGGTCCCTCTTCATCCTTCTGCCCTTCTCAAGTCTTACCCCTTTAGGCCTTCATTCCAAGTAGGCTTCCTCCATCTCAGTACTCAGCGGTGTGCTCTGTGACTTAAGAGCCTGGAGTCTCCTTGCTCCTTTCTGTCCCTCAGTCGGTGGCCTGTACCAGAGCCGTGGAGACCTCTACTGCCTTCTGACCCTGAGCAACCCTTTCCTGGGAAGACTAGGACAAGCAACAGGCCCAACCAGCCTGTCCCTGCACCCTGGTCCTTAAATTCTGGTTGCCAGGGGATGGAAGAGCTGGGTGAGCTCTCCATACCTTGTGCCAGCCAAGCGTCACTCCATCTAGGTCACCTTGACACTGTCTACCTGGCTCATTAGCCTGACTCCAGTAGCTGTTGGCTAAGCACTGTGAGACACACCTTCCTTCCTGGAAGAGTGACCAAAGGGCAGGAAATGCTCCAGGCACCTTCATTCTCATCTCTGATCCCCTGTCCACCTCCAGCTCCTGGGAGCAGGCTCAGGAGAATTTATCAGCTCATGAGATCCCATAAAAAGTGTAAGAGAGGGAAATGTGAATTCTAAGCTGAGCCACACTGCCAGCGAGTTGTGTCCCCTCTTTGGACTTTGTTTTGCTTTTCACATGTGAGGACTGGGCAAGATCACTTTCAGAGATCTTTCTAGCAGAAGAATGCTAAGCAGTGAGCACTTCGTCCAGGTGAAGCTCATCTCTTGCTCAGTCTCCTACCTGAAATTGATCATCTATGGTCCATTTCTTTAGCTCCCTGGTGTTTTTCTCCTCTAGGAGGAGGCCTCTTTGGGATGCGACTATTATTTTTTTTTTAATTTTATTTATGTGTGTGTGTGTGTGTGTGTGTGTGTGTGTGTGGCCAGCTCAGCCCACCAGGGGGTGGGGCTAGGCTGGCATATGGTGCTGGGCGATTGAACCGCCGTCCCTGTGCCTTGCTAAGTTTGTTCTAAGTAGGTGCTTTAGACCACTGAGCCATCTCACCAGCCCGGAATGCGACTATTACTGAGAAGTATATACCAGCAGTATTGCTCTGGCAAATGTCTAACAACCAGCCCTGGCGTTGCAGACTGCCTAAAGTCTTCCACCACAGCAATGCAATACCACTAAATGTGGACTTAGACAGAGATGTGCCACTGGTCCTCTGAGCTGCTCAGTGACACTGGGCAACACCAGGCTCACCACACGGTGGCCGGTACGCACAGTAGAAGTTAACTAAAAGGTAGGAGAAGTAGCTAGCAATGTAAGGGGACAAAGGAAGGTACCAGGATGAGGGTGGTAAGTGGGAAGGTCAAGAGACTCCAGGTAAAAATGAAGGAGCCCAGCAAGGCCACCCAAGGCCAGACCCTAACCCCATGCCTCGCTTCCTATCAGGAGGAATCTCTTTATCAAGTGTCCTGGGTGATGTCTGTCCTAAAAACTTGACAGAAAACCTCTGTGGGCCTTTTGCTGCGGCGGCCGCAGCCATGAGTATGCTCAGGCTTCAGAAGAGGCTGGCCTCCAGTGTCTTCCGCTGTGGCAAAAAGAAGGTCTGGTTGGATCCCAATGAGACCAATGAAATCGCCAATGCCAATTCCCGTCAGCAGATCCGGAAGTTGATCAAAGATGGGCTGATCACCCGCAAGCCTGTGACTGTCCATTCTCGGGCACGATGCCGGAAGAACACGTTGGCTCGCCGGAAGGGCAGACACATGGGCATCGGTAAGCGGAAGGGTACAGCCAACGCCCGAATGCCGGAGAAGGTGACCTGGATGCGCAGAATGCGGATCCTGCGCAGGCTGCTCCGGAGATACCGGGAATCTAAGAAGATCGACCGGCATATGTATCACAGCCTGTACCTGAAGGTGAAGGGGAATGTGTTCAAGAACAAGCGGATCCTCACGGAGCACATACACAAGCTGAAAGCGAACAAGGCCCGCAAAAAGCTCCTGGCTGACCAGGCCGAGGCTCGCAGATCGAAGACCAAGGAAGCGCGCAAGCGCCGTGAGGAGCGCCTGGAAGCCAAGAAGGAAGAGATCATCAAGACCCTGTCCAAGGAGGAAGAGACAAAGAAGTAGTGCTCTGCGTGTACAGAGAACGGACAGGTCCCAAATTAAAGAGCTCTTGGCCTTTCAAAAAAAAAAAAACCTCTGTGGGACCTCAGGCCACTGTGGAGCAGTCAGAGCATTTATAACCTCTTCTCTCCCGTGTACTCCAGCCGGGCCAGAGCGCATGTTTCAGAAAAACAACAAAAAAATAGAAATCCATCCACGGTCTGATAGAGGATGTTTTTTCTACTTTGTATTTAAATGAAGTCTCCCAAGGTCTAAAAAATTAAATCTTGGCTGTACATTTAATGAAATGCCTTTATTAAAAAGAATAAAATCATTTTATATTTGAAAAGCACTATAAAAATTCAACTAACCATACAGCAGCTAATGCCACATTTGAAATTAGAAATAATTCAAGTTATTAGGATTTGTTAATACTGGATAGTGGGTACACAGATGTTGTTTGTAATTCTTTCTGCTCTTCCATACACTTGAAATATTTCATAATTTAAAAAAGAAAGAAAGAAAGAAAGAAAGAAAGAAAGAAAGCTATCTCTCCTGATTTCAGTCCTAGAAATTCTGTCCTGTGTCCTTTTAGTCCCAGGTTGAGGAAAAAACAGACTCCATTATCTTGGTCTTCTGGTCAAAGAGGTGCTAAGGGAAGTTCCAAGAACCCCCACCCTTCCCTGCTGAATTGGTTTTCATCCAACAAAGGAGAGGATTTCTAGAGCTTCTTAAGTCCCTCCCTGAGCCAGGAAAAAACATTATCCTTCCACACTCTCTCCAGTGCCTCAGGCTGTGAGCCCAAGGCCTGATTGATCTGGGGTATCCTCTGTGGAGAAGCTGGTCTCCATACTCTGAGATCCCAGGCCCCACCTACAGCTCTGAGGTGACCCTCTGGGCACACAGTCAGAGTGTGAGAGAGCTTGCTCCTCAGCAAGCTGTTTGAGGTGGAATCCCATGTTGTGAAGTACGTGGCCTCCCTCAGTAGGCTTCATCTTTGGTCAGCAGCCAGGGTCCCCAGTGGCTTTGTGATAGTGGGGTTGACCACATTAGGGCTGTGGCTTCCCCCTCACCCCTACTTGCTACAGAGAAGCATCTATAGAAGGGGGGGTCTACCCTCGAGGTGGAGAGCAAGCTGCGTGGCTGAGAGGACTCCTGGGCTCTCACTCTGCATCTCCCTGACAGCTACAAATAAGCTCTTGAATGTATTTAATAAACCCCGGGAAGGAGTTGTGGCCGCCTCGCCTCTGCTGGGGAAAGTGATGGATGTCTTCAGTGGGAGAGAGGAAAGAAAACTTTCAAACTGCGTTCGATTAAGAGGAGGAGCCCTCTGGAGGGAGTTCCTCAGGTCTGTGCTCATAGCTGAGTCCCCCAAATGGCTTTTGGGGGCAGCGGGAACTGGCAATACCTCGGAAACTTGCTAAGTGTGAAGTGTTTCTCTCAGGAGAGAGGAAGTATATGGGTCAAGGATTGACCCAAGTGTGACCCTAAGCCTAGGACCTCACCATGATCCTATAGGGTGCATCCCTGCAGACTTCCTATGAAAGGCTGTGTCCAATAAGAGAGAGCTCTTGAGACAGGAATTGGAGGAACTCAGTAGCTGAACAGCCAACCTTTACCCTAATATCACTTCTGCAGCTTGAAGGACCTCTGCATGCCCCACCTGGGCGGCTTTGTGCCAGCCCTGCCACCTACCAGCTTTCAGACTCACAGAGCTCTTAGCTTTTAAATCTCTCCTCACCTGTGGAATGCAAATAGTACTAGCCCAGCTCATCCCACAGGGTGGCAGTGAGGGTCACGTGAGGACAGAGTGCAAGGACACCCTGCCCTGCAGCAGATGTCCATCAGCACCAGTCCTGAGGTTCAGTCTGGGCCACACCACTTGCCAAAATTTGTACAGGCCTAAAAGGGGTAGGTTCCGACTTTGAAAAGTGATTTGGAAGCTCTCCTTGTCAGAGCTGAGGGAATGAGTGAAAGAAAGGCAGTTTGAGAGAAATCCTCTAACTTCTGGAGAACTCAAATACAAGGTAAATTTGCAGAATTCCAGAGTCAGCCACATAGGGAAGGGTTGAGTTTTGCTCCCCAGCATCAGCCTCAAAGAGAAGGGACTTAGAATGGAAGACATGTGGGACACATGCGCGCCTTGTGGCACGTGCTCACACCCGGAAGCACCTCCATCCTCGCAAGTGTTCTCTCCATACCTGCCAGAGTCCTGATACACAAGGGCAGAGCTAAGAAGCCTTTTCAGAAGTGATTTATATTTTCAGCCTGTCCCATCTCTGGGGGCTAGATGTTCTGTAAGTTTACAAGCCTCTGTGTGAAGTCGAATTTCTTTCTCTGGATCTTAAACTAGCCTCGTAAAAGCTTCAAAGGGAATGACGTGGAAACAAGCTGACATAAAGAGAACCCAGCGTGGCTTGCTTTAGACTGAGAACTAGGTAACAAGCACACAAGTCGTGGCGCCTGACACCCCGGCAGGGAGGGGTGAGTGGCGATGAGATCGCAGGATAGGCACAACAAGGGAGCTGGAGGTTTCAGAGAAGAAGCTCCGACATCTCCCATTGCTTTCTGAGGGGAGGCTACATTTCCCAACTTGTGTGAACATGGGATGGCCCCATCCATCAGAAAAGGTGTCCTAGGCAAAGGGTCAGAGGTAGAAGGAGGGTGAAGGAATCTGACACCAAGAGGCCTCTCCAGGGGAGTTTCTCAGCCCCTGTCGGGCATCCCCTTCTGAGCAGCAGAGCTGGAGTCACAGCAACCCAGGTGCCCAGGAAGGGACCAGGAGCCACAGGTCCCATCTTGGGGTCCTGCAGCCACACTCAGCAGCTAACACGCTCCTGCAGGCACTCCCACTCACCGGGGATGCAATCCTCCCGTATCTCAGGGTTTAGCCCCGTTCTGAGCCCCTGGCAATCTCTCCCACAGTACATTGGCAGCTTTGCCCCTGGGTCCCACCTGGCACCTTGGCAGCTGGGCCTGACTGTCCCTTCTTTGCCCCCAGACCTTGCCAGGTGGGCCAAGGCTATGGGGGTAATGCCTATGCACAGGCCCATGTATGAGTGCAGACATTTGCAGATCAGACCAGAGCCCAAGCAAGACCACGAAGGAGGGCAGCTGTGAGCCAGGAGGAAGCGGCTGTGAGAACCGCACAGGTGGGGGCAACGGTGTTGCTCCCCTCGAACAGTGCTGTGGTGACCCTGGCAATGGCACGTGGATGGTACTTGGCACAGTGGCTGGCATGGTGGCCCTTCGAATAGTCTGGTGGGGCTGGGGGCAGGATTACCAACTGGAAGCAATTCAAGTGCCAAGGTGAAGGCGAAGTGCATGTGAGCTTCAGAGAAGGGAGCAGTCCCAGGACCCACGGAGTGGAGAGGCAAAGGACGTGGTAAGAGTGTCAGCTTGGTGACAGGGGACAACGCTGGGATCCCAAGTCAACTATGGGCTCCAGAGCCTTCTTTTCCCTCTGCAGTTGGATGCAGCATGAGGGGCCTGACTGCAAACGAGGGAAGTAGGAGCCCCATACGTGCTCAGGGAGACAGGACCAGAATGAGAGCCACAGCGAGACGCAGGCTAGTCTCGGGCCCTGCTGCTCTCGTGTCCTGGGGTGGGGATCCATCACTGATGATGTCACCACTCCCCAGCACATGCACTTTTCTCTCTCTAGAATCTGTCTCCCAATTCAGAGTAAAACCCTCTTGACCTAGAGTTCAAAAAACTTCTGATGTTTTGTTCTGGAGCAAATATAATCCAGTACCCTACATGTACTTCCAGACAATTACAAAGTCCTCCTTAGCCAGTACATGCTAGCTGAGTCACACGGGATGCTGCCACAGTCCTGTGCAGCTTGGAGTGGAGGCAGTGTGTGCCTGCTCAGTGGGGCAGGCTGTGTGTGTGTGTGTGTGTGTGTGTGTGTGTGTGTGTGTGTGTGTGCCTTATGCAGGCAAGATGCTAGGAAAGTCATTATATCCTCATTGTGGATACAGACAACTAACAATGAGAGACGTTCTCACACTAATGTGATCACGAAGGATGTGAAAATCAAACTTGAAAGAAAGCTAGAAAGGGGGCTGCCCACTCCCAGCAGCCCTGGTAGCTCTTTGCGTGATCGGGCAGCTTGGTTAGGGATGAGAAGGAGGTGGCACTTGGCCATGTGTGTCTCAAGTTACCCCTGTCCAGGACCTTTGGGTCAAATAGTCCTCAGTTCTGACATCTGATCAAACTCAGCACAGTTGGCAAAATCCCAGAAAACTGAGCAATGGCCTTGCCCCTCCTGCAAGCGTGTAACCTCTCCAGATCTTGCCAGGTAGACCGGTTCTCACCCTTATTTGCTACAAATACAATGTGCGCATTTCCCTCTGTTAAAAAAGCAGAGGTAGAATAAATGAGCTCTTGGCAAGAGTTACAGCTACATGCCCCACTTCTCTATTGTTTTTGGCTGAAGCCAAGACACATACATTTGTGCTCATGGATATCCATGTATTTATACACATGTGCCAAGCAGGAAGCAAATGTTAGGAGATGCAGACCTACCACCTGCACTGTGCCAGGGGAAATCAAGGGTGGAGAATGGACCTAATACACTGATCTGCATAGAACAAAGCTAAAAGGAAACCTGTTAGCAGAGGCGGGCAGCAGGTGAAGGTGGGCCCAGGAAAGAAGAATGTGCAAGTATTCATGTGAGAGGAGGTGGTGGCCTGGGCCAGGGTGGTAGGGACTTGAGTGAAGACATACAATGAAGGTGGAGCGAGAAGGTTGTTCAGGTGGTGTAGAAGGAGCGGCAAGGGGGCACAGCCGTGGATGACACCCTAGGTTTCCACCTGAGCCACTGGACAGTGTGTGAGTGGACCCCAACCCAGGGACTGGCTCTGAGTCCTGACTGGGGCACATGCCCCCGTGATTTAGAACTGATTATTCAAATAAATCTCACCATGTGTCTAAAGGAAAAGCAATGCCCCAACACACACACACACACACACACACACACACACACACACATCGTTCCTATGGCTTCCCTCGGGAGCAAAGCAGGTCACCTGTATCAGGGTCTCTACCAACATATTGGGACGGTAGGATGGGCTGC